TAGCTGAAAGCTTGATGGGGAGGAGGGAGCAAAACCTCGTGTGTTCTATTTTAGGTTATATGTCACCGCACCCATCTCCACTGGGAGCCCCAGAGCACGTCTCCAGTCCTATGTCTGGAGGAGGCCCAACCCCACCCCAGATGCCACCGAGCCAGCCAGGGCCCCTCATCCCGGGTGATCCGCAGGCGATGAGCCAGCCCAACAAAGGTCCCTCGCCTTTCAGTCCCGTCCAGCTGCATCAGCTGCGAGCTCAGATTTTAGCTTACAAAATGCTGGCCCGGGGCCAACCCCTCCCCGAAACACTGCAGCTTGCAGTCCAGGGGAAAAGGACATTGCCTGGCATGCAGCAACAACAGCAGCAGCAACAGCAGCAGCAACAGCAGCAGCAGCAGCAGCAGCAGCAGCCACAACCACAGCCGCAACAACAGCAGCCGGCCCTTGTTAACTACAACAGACCATCTGGTAGGTTAATATACAACAAATGAATAATGCCGCGGTCCAGCTCGGATAAGAAAGACTGCTCACACACAAAAGCACTGGGTTGGTGTAAGCCCGGGGCTGACTTAGCCTTGTGTTGTACCTCCCTGGCTCTCTTTCCTTGCTCTACTCAGATGGCCAAGATTCTTGGTCTCCTGCTACACAGTCCTAGAGCAGTGTTTCTTACACTTCAGAGACTCTCAGGCAAGCTGTGGAACTAGGGAGAAAGCACTATCACCCACGATTTCGCATTCTATTTCAAGAGGTTCAAGGTTTCTCAAAAGCCCATCCCCACACCCCAGGTTAAGGACTCTGGTACCCAGTGCATTCCCTCAACAAAACTCACTCCTCGAATCAGCTCCTCTAGAACCATTTTATATTTGTTGATTTATTTATTTCTACCCTTTTTTGTTGTGAAAAGCATCTGGGGAGGCTTACAAGAAGCATACCTGTAATAAAATAATTATCAAGTAGAACAATCAGAAACAATAGAAAATAGAAAAAGAAGTAAGAAATTGAAGTCAGCAATGTGGGGACCACAAAAGCTCTCACAGTTGCTATAGCTGAGCTTCAAAGATGACTTGAGCTGCTTGACAGTTAGAGCCAAAAGGAGACAGGGTCATGTGCCTAATTCTCACCATTTGGAAGGAAGTTGCTCACCCATTTCTCAGGGGACACACAGCCATTTGTAGCATGAGAGTATAAAGTAGATTTCCCAGGTGGGATCATTCTGTAAATTATCATTGTCGTCATCATCATCATCATTATCGAAAGAGGTACTACATGATAGAAACATCAGTAACATTTGTTTATAATAGAGTAACAGATTCCACATGGCCTATTTCTTATACACGCTGGGATAAAATCTGAAGCCATGACATTATGCAATGGGTAGAGATGACATCTTCCTTTGCATGGCCTCCTGCTGGTCTGGCTTGAGCCCACTGATAAAATTCAGAGGTACAGGGGACTGTAGGGTGATCTCCGAAGGAAGTCGTTTTCTGTAGGAAGGTTTTTGTTAAAAACTGGAAAAACAGCGAGTTTATGGTGCTACTCTAATAAGAACCTTGGATTCCAGAGAATGGGATAATTCCCTGACATTGATGCCATTTCCTGTGAATGGTTTCCACTCATCTGGGCAAGTCTTGACATGCTGGTTATTGCAAACAAGTAGTTTGGGATATTGGTACTCTTCCTAGGTTTTGGGACTTATGTAATGGAAATGAGTTCAGGTTAGTATTTTTTTTTTTAATATTTTACCTGTTGAGTTTATAAATGTTTCTTTTCTGGTAGAGGCAGCTCCAAGAGTTGGCCTACCTTAAAGGTAGGTAA